CTTAAGAGTCCGTGGTAACTGAAAATTTTCATTTTTTGTGCCTTTAATCAACGTTTTTCAGAAAAATCCATACAGAAATGAGTACTTTAATGGGTATGAAAGGTGTTGAGCCAAAAAACAAAAATTTGATAAAAATTCACAAACCTGCGGAAAAATGCAAGTTTCTTCACTTTGATTATTTTGACGAGAGCCTGATTCCACCACGCTGCCTCACATTTTTTTTTAGGTTTAGTTTTAGTAGAGGTTTTGCGGCGCTCGCAACTGCATACGGTCATATGAGCGCCAGAAGATTAGAGGTGTTACAAGAGAGTAACAAACATAAAAAAAAAGAAGAAAGGGAGATAAGGATGATAGATGTTCGATAGGAAAGAAGGAGCAAACCACACCAGAGCACCCGCCAACCACCCACAAAATATATTTTTTAATGCAAGTGTTTTTACACCCCCATCAACACAATTTTGATCATTTAGGAGACTGGCTTCCAACCCTGGGCTGAGAGGGATAAAACATTCCAGCAGAAAGACAGAGATATTCCATAAATGTTTCTCCCCGTTTGGAAATCGAGCTCGGGCGACAGCAAAGCGCATAACCGCTACACAACAGACGCCAGACTTATCTGCCTCAAGTGAAGAGAGCGGCTGTAATTTCGGTAAGAGAATAAAGTCGAACTGAAAGGGATAAGAAAAAGTTGGCGCTACTTGAGTATTGAAAAAGTGACTTCAATAAATTGACAATTTAATCTTTGTATCCTTTTCAGAGACACAGAATTCTCTGGCGCTGACCAGATGACAAGGACATGTGGTTACTTGAGGAAATGCTCGCAGCTAAAGGGATTTGAAAACAACAACAACAACAAGAGACACAGAAAAAATGACATGTGCTCCTATTCAATGTGCAGACCATTCCAAAATAATCTTAAAAACAAGTCGGAAAAAAACCTGATGCGCAACCACTACGTCTTTTTCCTTTCAAAAGTGTTTATCCTTCCCTATACTATAAGTTAAGAAATAAATAAAAGATGAACAATCCTTCTCTAAAATAAGAGTCTTATAAGTAAGCAGATGAACAGAAATCTTTCCCTATAGATAGAGGTAAGAAATAAATGAAAACAGAAATCCTTCCATATTCTTTTACTAAGAATTAGAACAAGAAAGAGAGAGAGAGAGAAAAAGTATACTAAGATACTAAGAGTAAAGAAAGAAGCAATCAAACAAAAGAAGGAGAAAGACTCCCCAATATCACGGACCTGTCCCGTGCCCACAGCCCCGCAGTGGACGATATTCTTTCCCATGTTCTCCAGCAGAGCCTTGGCCGTCCCAAAGTCGGACTCGGTACCGCCCACCATGAAGGTTAGGATCCCATCCCTGGCAGCGTTCACACCTGGGGATTGGCAGCAGGTGGGGAGGGGGGGGGGGGGAGGAAGGGGTATGTATATATGAATTTTTAATGTAGGTGTTTTCACGCATCCATTGACAAAATTTAAATCATTTACGAGGCAGGCTTCTGACAATTTAGTCAGCTGGCTTCCATCACCGCCTGTCAGGGCCAACCAGAGCTGAGAGGGAAACAAATACAACGTCCTAGCAGAAAGAACGAGCTATTCGTTGGAAATATAAAAAATAAAAAATATAATATATAAATTACACTTTTATTTGTCCCAGAAGGGCACTCTGTTTTACAATGGCAAAAATACATACATAAATACATGATTATAGATACATACATACATAAATACATACATGCATAAATACATACATAAATACACACTATTACACAAATACAGAACAGGTTACAAACAATGCCACTGTCGCTTGCCACTGTGCAGCGTCTTGAAATTTAAGCTAGGGTTGTCATGTCTAGCTCAAGGACACACTCCAGTGACCACCCATCTGATCCCCGTGTCACCGAAACTTGCTTGAGTCAAAACTCACTACTCACTTAGCCACTGGAGCCTCCTATCAGAGAATTGCACCTAACCATCCATTCACACTTTACTGCATTCAAAATATTAAAGCAATTCAAAGTAGCCCTGCATCAAAAGATCTCTCCGATTAACTTATTAGCTTCGTTCCATTTATCATTGGCAAAACAGTCTTGCAAGTTCATAATGTCTCTTCAGCATCAGCTAGTGTAAAGAGCAACACCACAAACAGATCATATGGGTAGAAAAACGGACATCTATACTCACACCGTCAAAAATGCATTGAACACCTTTTTTACATGCTGGATTTCCTAAAAATCGGCACCCCAGGAAACTAATGACGTACCGCCTGAGACCGGAGCATCCATATACACCGCGCCTTTCTCCCCGGCTTGCGCTGCCACAGCCTTAGAAACGGCTGGGTCGATGGTGCTGCTGTCCAGTAGAAGGGTTCCTTCCCGCACCGTGCTGTCAAGGGCAAAGAAGAGAGATTTGAGTCACGGCACGCTGGAATAAGGAATTTGACAATATCGGGCTTATAGATATTTTATTATCTTGAAGCCTGTTCATTTCTCTTGCTTTTGATGAAAAAAAAAAAAAAAAAGAATTTATCTTGAATACGAGTCGAGACATTTGCAATTGAAGGAAGCAGGGGTCCCCTGGTGTTAGAGGTAAAATTAGCAAGAAAATAAACCCCGCCATATTTTGGAGACTTCAAAAGCTGTAGTGTCCTTGGGAACTACAAATTTACATTGTGTCTTTGATCAAGTGTTTAAGTAAAATCCACGCAGAAAATGTATTTTTATGGGGACATAAAAGGTGTTGAGCCCTTACCAAAAAAAAATAGATAAGAATTGCCCAATACGCACAAAAAAAAAATCGATTTCTTTGATTTCATTAATTTCATTAAGCTCCATTTAGGATCATTTTGGAGATATATAATAAATCCAAGCCATTCTGAACAGACCTGTAACAATAATGTCTAACATGGTTAGTAAAAGGTCTCTATACTTGACTTGTAGGCTCTGTCATCATTTCTATTCACAAATTCAGTCTTTTAAGTTTTTCTTCAGCATCTGCAAGTCTGCGAGGAACAATACTAGAAAACAGAGAATATGAATATACTAGCTTAGCTGGGCCCCCTTTCGATGAAAGGAATGATCGGTGCTTTAATATCAACTAAAAGCAATTGGCCCACTATATTTACACTCCACTGGAACGGGGAAATAAATCTTGAGAATGCAAAAAAGTAGAAGGTCTAGATCTATACTCTCAAAACAAAATGCTCCTCGCGAAATATCACTTCTGGATTTTCAAAAATTACAGAGACAGAAGCGTCGGCCAACAAAAGCGATCGGCGAAATATAGAAATTTAGCTTTTGCAGCAAAACTGTCTCAAAACTGAAAAAACCAAGGGCGCCATGCTCTGGAGAATATTTTAAAGAATTTTTTTGGCAAAAACCGCAAGTCGATCAGTGCAGCCATTAAAAAGTCTTTTGAATAGCAACATTCGGCCACCACAAATAGATAATAGATGACACAAAAATGTGATTACTTACTTAGACCCTAAAACATACAAAATAAGTTGCTCTTTTCCGTACTGGTTGGCAGCTATGTAAGAACATAAAAATGCATCTACATATTCAGACCCTCAAAAACGAACCAAACACGCCTTTATTTCTATTCAGGTTCCAAGGCAGCTTTCTAAAAGCGTGAGAACTGCTCGGCCCATACCTCAAGATCCCAGAGGGACCCGTATAGACCTCCTGCACGTGGGCGTTGGCGGGCAACATGGTGACCAGGCGGTCCACGCCAAACGCAACTTCAGCCGGGCTGCTGGCGACACTGGCACCTGCGGGTGTAACAAGAAATGAGTACAACCGTCGAAACAGCTCATTGGTTTGTTTGTTTGTTTTAGTTTTAATTAGGTTTTACGGTGCTCACAACTGCATAAGGTCATGTGAGCGCCATGGGGTGGATGTCAACAGAGAAGTCCATACAGGGGATCAGGCTTACTCGGCTCATCACTCTAGCTTCAACAGCACAAAGTCTGCTTCGACTATCAAGGCACCCCAGAAATAGCGGAAGAAGTGGGATGTGGTTTTTGGTACAGGTGATCGTCTCGAACAGGTAGTCGTTAGAGCAGTGAAGTGGTCAACCCTATTCAGACAGTATAGTCACATGTCAACAATCACCTGTACAAATGACCATTTCCCACCTCTCTTCCCTGCATTTTATTTTTTTAAATGTCACTTTCTGCAGTTCTTTAGGGAAGAAAAAAGTCATTTTTTGTGAAATGAGATGTCGACTCTTGAATCTGCCCCATCTTTCCAGATATGGCAGGATTACTAGATCCAGTCACACTACGAAAATGGAGTTCATTGCATTTTGTCATCAATCTGTACACTAACCGTCAGCTTTGAGGGTGGCAAGCGAGTCCTGGGAGACATCAAAGGCCACCACGGGGTAACCTTTCTTCATCAGGTTACGGGCCATGTGGCCCCCCATGTTGCCCAGGCCGATGAAGCCCACCGGAGACTCTGAGGGCTGGGGGAGAAAGACAAGTGTAGGAATTAGATCAAATAAAGAGAGAGAGAGAGAGAGAGAGAGAGA